ACGCTTTCATTTCTATTATTATAGTATTTTTTCTCTCTTTTCCCGCGGATTATAAAAGATAAAATTCCTTTCATTTCTTTCATAGTGTTTGCATAACACGCTTATTAGGAAGAATAATATAGCCTTATTCCAATATAAAGATATTGTAATACTATTACTTTACGACGAGAGCGTATACTTAGAATTTTCAATAAATTAATAACTATCTAAAATTGTTTTTGCATTGCTAATGTTTATTGCTTTTCTTCTTTAAAAATAAATTTCACGAAATGGTCAAAGAATTTGCTAATTTCCTGGTTTAAACGAAGATTCTGAAAACTAATTTGTTTTAGGCTTTACTGATTGATAAGAAAAGACAAATAAGAACTTTAATCATCCGAAGTTGTGTAACATTTCAGTGTCTATCTAAAAGTCTAGTAATATCATCTATAAAAAATCTATATTATTTACCGTCATAAGAAATACCCAAGTCCATCCAACATCAATTAACATATCGAGACTCAGACAAATAACATGCGACATACATGCGACGAGCCCGCCATGCACAAAACAATATGCAATCGACTTACGCTTTTATTAGTGTTTCATTCATGCAAACGCCGTGTTTTTTTCCAAAGATCGCAAATAGTCGCATACATCAATTGCAAAACCACCAGTCAAGTTAAGAAATCCAAGGAAGAATGTCATAATGTTTTGGAACGGCTTAGTTAACTTTTCACTAAATGTTAGGAAGGGAGTTAAGTTATATATTGCAGATTAATTTTGTTATCACGAACCTATAAGTTCATTAAAAGGGCATACACTGGCTGTATGCGACTATTTGCGTCTTGGTTCATCGAGCACCAGAACTCCTCAACATTTCTGAAGTGCCTTTCTTCGACTCATCGATACTTGTTCAGATGCAACATGGAAGGGTTGCTGCATAATAATATATTTGTAAATTAAAATTCTGGGAAAGTGGTTTCAGGAAAAGCAGACACACGCCGAGGTAATTTCAAAGAATTGGCGGTTTGAGTGACATTAAAGGAAATGAAAGGAAATGGCAAAATATTCTGCAGAAGTTCATTTACCTTCATATAATCCAGAAAATAAATCGACTATGTTCAATCCAAAGTTGCAGAATTCGTGACTAATTCAAAAAAAGTGTACCATTATTCTATTTAATAAATAGAGAAGTCATTATAGGTCAATAAATTTTGCCATTTTTGCCAATAACTAAAGAAAAGTCGCATGTCTGCAAGACGTTAACGCAATTCTGACTAGAATACCCTCTATACTTGACCCTGTATACTATACACTTGAATTGCCTTAAGCCCTAGTAGTGTTTGTTTCGCAATATGCTACTTTTAATTAAATATCGTAAAGAAAAATAGAGAAAATGTATTTCCAAGCAACTACTGTGAAATGCCAGGATCCCACTTATTTTACATATATGCACATATTATGCAAACAATGAAAATTTCACTGCATTGATATCACATTAACAGTTGACACTGAATAATTGTTACAAACTTCTAGGTCACGGACGACGGTCGTGTCGAAGAAAAGCCAGATCTGTTGAGGGTTCTGGGAAGACAGTGAGCGCACACCGGATGAGGTGATTGGTGGTGATGATGGTGGTGGTGGGGTGACGGGCACTCACCTGCGCTCCCGTGGCGGGGGGGACGGCTCTTCGGAGGTCGACGCAGAGTGGCAGCGCCGCGTCCTGGCGACAGAAATCCGCACAGGTCAGACGCGCAGGGAAGGAAGCAGGAAACCTACGTAAGCGGATGATTTTCGATGACGGAAGAACGAAATGATGGGGTATGAAAGACGCCCTGTTAAGCCACACGCTACCGGAATAACAAAAACTATAGTAATAACCATAATAATGTAATATAATATAATATAATATAATATAATATAATATAATATAATATAATATAATATAAAATAATATAATATATAATAATAAATTAGGAACTATGAGGAGTTTGCAATGTAATTGAATTACTGTAGATATGGAGATTGGAGAAAGTTCTTATTTATGCCTCGGTAATCGCATCGAAAGGACTAAGGTCGAAAATTTTTAAAAAGAATTTGAGAAATTTGTAACTACCAATAAAATTGCAAACTGTTGGAAAAAAGGTAGTCTTACTTCAAACTTGTCACATTTTTCGACGTTTTTACAGTAAGCTCACGCTTGATAGGGTGAATTCCGTTTTCATAAGAGCAGAATCTAGTCGAAGAAACCAAAAGACATATTCTTTTTGCACATTGAGAAATAAAATTAATAATAATAATAATTATTATTATAATTCATTAATAACGATTAATAATTTCTTACGCGAGCAGGAGGCTTTTGCCCTTTATGGGATGTTGTAGGCTAATAATAATAATAATAATAATAATAATAATAATAATAATAATAATACAAGAAGATGTTTTTAAAGTTAGTCTTGTTTTATGTAAGGAAACGTCCCAACTTAATACTCGACGCTCTAGAAACCATGATGTACTGAAGAAATATTTATGTATTTTTCAAATAAATGCAATACTTTTCAAATAAATGCATTTGTCTATTATATTCGTCTACTTATAATATTTTAATGTAAATTATACACTTCATGGTGTATCAGAAACAATACGTATGGATTATGACTAACATTTTAAGGATGAGTTTGTCACTGAAATGTGACGGCTTTGATGTATTCGTCGGTCGAGTGCGCTTTTTGTTTTCAGAAGTCGCCCATGACTGTAGGCGTTTCCTTTGTGTTCCCGTGGACGGACACTTACCACATTCCCTACATATCTAGATTGCGTCAAACTTACGTCGAATGATTTCATAACTATGGTGGAGTATGGTGCACTTTTATTTTGAGGAAATAAATCAGCCGATCAGTAAAGCTTTATTTGTATATCGCCTTCAATATATGCAACCCCCTCGACATCAGTGTTTGCATGATTGTCTACTCCACACGGAAGTCCAAGAATACCATGAAGTTTGTTTGTATTTCTTTTGTTTCTTAAAAACATTGTGGCTTTATAAAATATTGTTAATACTTAAACTCTTTTAAGTCAAGTTAGACATATAGTTGAGGTACAAAATGCGAACTAATGGCAAATTACAAAATGAAATGGAATATAGAAAAATAAAGTCTATATAACAATATATTATTTCACATTGTTATGAAAACAAAATAACAACCAGCAAAATATATTACAGCAATGTTAATATTTTATATGGACATGAAGGCATTTTCCTCTCTATTTCTTACTTGATATTTTTTTGTATCAACGACAAACATATCCTTTCATATGGCATATGCTACTTTGTGAGTTTGTTGTAATGTTAGAAAGTGTGGCTTTCGCAATAATTAATTAATAATATTTTTATATTATCTTTCAATCAATTTTACAATAACCATTCCTTCCTCATGTTTTTAATAGGGTATCTTTTCACCGATTGTAAAGTTATTTATTTTTCATAATAACATTTTACGGTTTCTATAGCAATTCATTCAAATATTTTACAGTAATATTTTAAATTAATAAACCTAAATTGATTGAAACGAAAAATATAAAATAATACATTTTCTATAAACAAACTGGTGAAATGGTGAAAATTGACCGAAGCAAAATCATTTTAAACAATGATCCTAATCCAAAATATAACTTTTAAAATTAATTTCCACTAACAATCCGGCTACGTTTATAAACTACTTATATTTAAAAAAATGAAAACAGTACATGTTTAAAATTCTAATTAGGAATAGGTAGATAAATATTAAATATTTGTCGCAATAGGTCATTGACAATATGATTAATATAATTTATTGAAATATAAAAAATTATAAGAAATAAAATGCTTCCGTGGCCGGAAATAATACAATTTCGCTGTGCGGGAGAAGCAGCTTCACAGGCACAGTTGCAAACGTTCTGGCTGATATAGTTGGAATCTTTCTCAGCTCAAGCATTTCGCCCTGAGGAAGGTATGGCGGACGAAACGTTGGCAACTGTGGTTTGGTCGCAGCGTCTCCCGAACACCAAAGCTTCTAATGAATGAAATGTTGCCGAAAATCAATTAGTAAATCAAGAACGTTTTACAAACGACAATGCTGAGCTCACAGTCGCAAATTAAATAGCACGAGCCTCTGGCTTATTATCGTTGGTGTTTGGAACACATTTTATTGGCTTGTGATGCGCATCCTCTCTTTGTTGCTTGTGTCATGAGTATGTTTATATATGAAATATTTTTAGTTTTGGAGGAATTTCATATTTTTTATTTTTTAAATGGAACTCTAAAGTTTTCTCAACAGTAATGGAGAGATCATTAAAAAATGAATACAATGGTATTTTACGTTAGTTTTTTGATAGCAATTTGAGTATATAATTTTAGTTTTTTAATAGTATATAATTAAATTTTCTGATATGGGGTTTTAAATTAAACGGACAGTATTTACTGTATCATATCTCGAAACTGTTGCCTTCTGAGAAGGTGTCTTTCGCGGCTCGGGACTGTTATTAGAACACCGTTACGTTTATTACATGCCAGAAAGTTTAATTTTATGCTCAAATTACGATGAAAATACTAACGTATAATACATCAACGCATTCCTCTTTTTATGATCTATCCATTGCTGATGAGAATAATTTATAATTCCATTTAAAAATCAAAGAAGATTAATTTTCTCAAAAACGAAAAGTATTTCGAATAATATCTCTACAGCATATTTCTTGCCCATGATTAAGCATTGTTGAGCGAAAATATCACATCGATTTTTTGAACGTTTTAAAAGTTATGGGGTTGTCAATAGTTGATGTGATGTATATTATATAATAGCTTGTTTTTGAAACCCATTTTATAGTTTTTAATATTTATCTACATCTGATTGCTTGTGGCACAAGTCTGCATTTTATTTATTATTTATTATATACTATATAATAGCGTTGCATTTTGGAACGCATTTTATTTTTTTTCGTGCGCATCCTCACCTGGTCGTTTGCCTTTGTGAACGTACCTGCGTCCGCTTTGGTGCCTCCGGATCTCGCTGAGCAGGTTGAGCGTGGAGGTAGTCATGCGCGTCCGGAAGGCCTGCTGCAACACGCCACGCGCCGCTGCGTCTCGCGCCGAGACCTCCGCCCACCGCACCACCCAACCACACCAACCACCCAAACCATTCGACCATCCGACTGTCCACCTCTCCGATCGCGTGCGCGCGACGACTAAGACTACAAATCACTCAAACACACGCCCCCTAACCACCCAAACCACTCAACCACTAGATTGCCCATACCACAGACCGCAACCTCATCCGACCACCCGACTGCCCATCGGCGATCTAGCCCGGCGTTTTGCCATCGCGCGCTCATTCGACAAACGACCACTCAAAGCACTCAAGCTCACGACCACCTAACCACCCGAACGCACCTCACCCGAGCCTTCACACCGCCGATCGCCCGATCACTCGTCCACCACACCAACCTCTCAACCGCCCGATCACCCAATCCACTTAAACACCCGACTGTTTATCCCTCCGATTGCATGCTTACTAGATTAACTTGACACCAACCACTGTATCGTACGAATGTCTAACCATCCAAACCACTAAACCATCCGACGGTCTTTCTCCCCCCTCGCTCTCATCACTCACCGACCACACCAACCACTTAACCTCACGACTGCCTAAACATCTGATTGCTCGACTTCCCAACTCCTACACCGCCCGTACGTTCACTTGACCATTCAAACACGCAAACCTTTCAACCATTCGAACAGAAGCGCATCTGACCATCGTAACTGTCGCAAGACCACCTAAACCACACGAGCACCCCACTACCTAACAACTGGACTGCATGCTCATACTATATCTGTCTGCACGACCCCTCTACTTTGTAAATGACCACACTAACCACCGACAATCTGATCAGCTACCACCCGAATTTGGCAACCACCCAACCGCCGGACCACGCTATCACCCGAACATCTTACCTCGCGACTACCAATAGAACTCAAACTCCAGACTGCTCGCAAACTGGCCCACCGGGAATCATACATCAAGGATAGTCACCTTACATCCAGGTTATTCAGCCACCAGAGCGCGAGCTCACTGGACCGTCCGACTAGCCGACCATCCTAACTCGCGACCACCTGGCTACCCAAACCACTTATCCAAAAAATGCCACTTAGTGATTGCGAATGGCGGTTTCGGATTGCTTTGTGTACCTCTTAAAAGCATCGAAACTATCACATAGGATAATGAAAGGTTTTAATAACACAATAAAGTCCATATAACTACATCCCATCAGATTTTTCACATAATCTCAAAAAAATGTTTAAAACCTGTGCCAGCCTGGAGAGAAGGCACCAACGCTATAGGCAACCTGCCATACAACAACGTGATGAGTGTTGTCCCGTCAGGGGCCAATGACACCTCTATCAAGTATGAATGATCTGAATTAGAAAATATGATGTGATGAAGTTAAATGAACTTCAGATTACATTTTAGCGATACCAAAAACATATTAGTAACATGGCCTGACTCTCGGTTAAAAATATATTTCATTTTTATATTTTTTTGAGTTTGTCAGAATCCTGATGTTATGGAGTAAAATAGACACGAGATTCGGATTTTGCGACACCAAAAAATATACAGAAAACAAGGTCTAATCCCTAGAGACGAACAGATTTTTCATGTGTGGCTGTGTAATTAAAGTCCTGAATGACGAAACAGTAACTTCTTTCCTAATCAAAGACAGAGAAGGAAAACGATACTAGAGTAACACGAAGTAGTATTATTCGTAGTTGACTCCCTACTCCATTGGTATGCAACATTTAATCAGGGAAATTGCTTTAGATAGGAGGGAGATCAAACGTGCTGCATGTAGGACAAGAATTGGACTAATTCTTTTGACGCCCGCGCTGCAAATTTTACAATAACAACCAATCCACAAACTATCTCGTACAATAGCTGTTTGAAACTAACGAGGGCAAGAGATTAAAAAGGATTCAGGTTTAGATGTGAAACATGAGGGAATTTTGTATATTTGTGTTTTTCCTTCGGGCACTCACCCACACAATCTCGCATCGCCCACTCGTCCCGGGGCAGCAAGCAATTTGAAGAATGAAGAACGCGCGGCTAAAGGTCACAGGCACTCGATTGTGCAAGCGGCAGGGGGGGAGAGTACTTTAATTAAAATGAAGTTGCCAGCACCGAACAAAACAGATTGGTCTGGGATTACCTTCGATTGGTCTGGCGTTCTTTCGTTGAACCACCTGAAATGAAACTCGTTTAAAGAGAAGTAAATAAATACAGTTTTGCCTAGTGGTGTATAAGAAGTTACTTTATCTTAATAGAAAACGGAAAGAGGATATTGCAAAGTTTCTGGTTCTAAAGGAAGTGGAGGTTTTCGTGGTTGTTTTAAAGAGCAATTCAAAAATACAAATAATTTTTTCGCTTAAATATCTACCATTGTGTATCTTTATTCACCGTCCTGTCCCAATATCCCCCTCTATCAGAGCACTTCGCGTTCCAAATCAGCAAAAAATATTGTGCAGTTGCCTTACTTCAATTTCTTTATTCAATATTTACTTTAAACTAAAAACACCTACTAGAATGGAAAATGAAAAAGAGAAAAATAAATTAAATTTACAAAGGAGGCAAAGACTACAATGTTTTATCTTCGATTTTATGTTCTGGTTCCCGCCATCTTAAAGAATTTTGATAAAAAAAGGGAGAACTTCACTTTAAGTTTGAAAGGACACACTAGATTAGTATGTCGTGTTCTGAACTCCATTAGTTTGTGACTATTCATAACAGTAAAATTGCATTGCTGGGAAAAATGTATAAAACAAATTAGAATTCAAACAAATTTACCAGGAGTCATTACCACATAAACATCATAAAATGTAAAATAAAAAAGTTGTAGAGTAAATTATACTTTCATCATTAAAACATGTGACGTACAGTATAGGTGCACTTACGGAAAAGGTGATGCCGATCGTATTATTACAACACAAAATTAATAACAGTTGAAATTTGACTACATAATTAAATAATATAATTACACTTATAATAAAATGTCAACGCTTTCTTTACAAATCTTTCTTGATATTTGTAGCACTTGAGGAATATAGCCATATTTTCAACTGTGAAGAATAAAGTAAACTATTTCTACAAGCTAGTTTTTTTCAAAACGTTTGCAATCAGTAAATAATACTGAAACATCGGTTTTCATTCACCAAAATCTGGTATTTCTTGATTTGTTTTCTGTTCGCAATCGCTTGTCGAGTCTCCAATCAGTCTGCGTCGGTCATTCAAAGAGTGTCCATCCTGCCTTCTGAGCCTTCCTTTGTTCCACGCATCGCTGCTGTCGATACGTCGATACAAATGAATAAGCGATGTGCAACAACTCATCATCTCCCTCCACTTTTAAATTCCGTTCTGAAAGACTGGGCACAAGACTGGCAGTCTCACCGCAGATCAATAAACGAGAACGTTTAAACGCGGAGGAAATATCTCAGAGGTCCAATATGCAAATAACTGGTTTGATGAAACGGAACTTGCAATTTTTAACATAGTTTTAGGAAGTACAGTTTAATTCATATATTTTGAATGACTCCAGAATAGTAGAAGGCAACTTTAAATTTCATTTTATTCCCATTCTACCATACTGCCATACTTATGCAGAAACGAGAAAGTATTGAAATTCTGCGGCATTAACTGGAGATTGTTGAGAGATAAACTCGTGTTGTGAGGCACTGACATAGAAATAGTGGATACATATTTTTACTATATGTAGTAAATTACTTCCTCTGACGCGTCAGAAACAACTTTTTGTGGGCTCTTGGTGCTGACAAAATTGTTGACGGCAAAACATCTGCCCGTCCGTCATTCACATTAGTGGCAATATTTCAGACAGTTTTTGTTTGTGTAAGGAGTGTATTTTGTGTCTATGTCAGAAGTGACTTTTGTGGTTCTTGTGAGACAGTTTGAGTTTCAGTTTTCAGCATTGTATCCTTCACTAGGGGAAATTCAATACGCACTAAACAATTTTCGTCTCCCAGAATTTAGTTGCTTAGTCCATTTGAAATGGAGGGAGGGTAAGTTCTCCGAAATTGATCACCAAAATTGATTACAGGAAAGTTCCTAAGTATGGGAACAAATCCTCTATTTTGCTATCAGCGACCTACAATATGCCTTTTTCTGTGGAAAACTTGCCATTTTTGCCGCAGCATTACAATACGTGTTTTATACAACGTATGTGGTATGCCAGAAAGTAAAACGAAAGAATAGGCAACAGTGACTTGGCAACCGATAATGACAATCGCATCCTCACAGGAAATCGTATTCTAAGTAATAGTGGTGTAGAAAGTTCAAAACAGTTTGCGAAAATTTATTACGTAAGAAATGAGTAAACTATAAAAGCGAACGCACTTTGTAGATCGGAGGAAGAAACAAGAAGTTCAAGGAATCAATAATGAAATATGATTTTCGTACTTCAATAAATTAGGAAATACCTTAATACTGTAATCATTATGTATCACGGAGTGTATTATAAATAATATTTCAAAAGTAATTTAAAATATAGACATTTTGAAGCCAAACGTAATTAGATAACTCCTATTTTTAAAAAAAAATGATTTGTATTTTAGAGAAGAGTTACACAATACAGTTTATGAAGATGTTCGTACATTAACACCCATGGGTGACGACATTGGGCTTTAAGGGTACATTTTTACTGTTTGGTAAATGTTAATTTTGACTTCCTTAAAAGTCTCAACAATTTTGTATTCAAAGAACCTACTAGTGGATCGCGGGCCCTAAGAACGTGAGAGGTTAAGTCGAGATGGAAGAAATGGAACTTTATTTTGCTGAATATCAACGTAGCAAAGAAGCATATTTCTAAAGAGTAAATCATAATTTAAATCATGGATACGTTAGCAAGTGTAGTTTGAAGTTTAGAACTCAAGCTTCGAAGACTGGGAAGTTTTAATTTCAAGTGTATACGGAGAAAGATATTCTATACAGTAATGGTATTAAGTTATATAAATATTGATAATCCTCTCAATGAAGCTATCATTAATATTGTGAAATTCCATCATTATAAATTTGGATATTTACAATTGTTAATGTAATATTATTTATATTTGAGTTCAGTATATTACTCTTTCTAATTAAATTGACAGTCGCCACTGCACAGCTGAATTTCAAAAAAGTTTTTGATCTGTCATCAGCGAAATTTCCTTTCATCAAATTCAGGCAGCCAGAACAGTATCAAAGATCGAGACAGATGTCCACAGACCATAGTTGACCTTTTTTTCTCCCCCTCACACTGTTCCCAGCCCCAACCTCATTCCTTTTGAATGGATGTGTTTCACCAACCCCAAATAGCCCACGTTACGTTATCCCGAACGAATCCTGCAGGTATCGGAGAGGCGTTATGCAGCGAGAGCTGTAAGACCCAGACCAGCGCAAAAGGAGAAACGTTAAATTCCACACTAACAAAGAAGGTATCCGCCATGGTACAGCCCAGTGGATAGAAGGGATATGAGCTCAAAATGAACTCAGGTCCGCAGGACACTGCGCCTAATCCAACGCATACTCACCACTCGGCTAAGAGGGCGCCGTGGGATACTGGAGCAAGAGGGCCTCTGGAGGTGGTTGAGGAACTCGAACAGAGTCAGTGAGTGGCGACATGCGTTCGGAGTGTGGGCGGAGTGGGGTCGGAATGGGGTCAGTGTGGGATCGGAAGTAGGTCGGAATGGGGTCAGTGTGTGGTCAGAATGGGATGGAGTGGGGTCGGAGTGGGGTCGGAGTGGGGTCGGAGTGGGGTCGGAGTGGGGTCGGAGTGGGGTC